AAAAAAACTTTGTTTTTTTCGGGGGGGGGGCCCCCCCCCCCCCCCCCCCCACTACCCCCCAGTAACTACGCCTCTGCATGATTTAAAAGTCTTTTCTCTCGTCACAGTGAGATATACTTTTCTCAGTTCAATACTAATAATAATTTGAAAAAGACTATTGCCTATCGTAGCTTAGTCTGTGAGTTTGACATAAACTTCATTCATCTTTACTAGAATTTATGTCAATGGTGATATTCCCAAATGTGGTGTGACACGTTTTAGTTTACAATTGATAATTAAATGTAAAAATGAAAGAGATGTGAGAATGAATTTTTATATCGTATTCTGAACCTTTCATTTGAAAACGTTTTATGATCGACAGCAAACAAGAACACACTGGTTATTAAAGATTAGCGCTACCGTTATTTAAGACATTTAGGAACCCATTGAATGCTACAGTCGAAAATTGTTTCATAAGGAATAGATGCAAACATGTTGACAAACCACTAATGCTGCTGAAGAGAATTAGGTGGAAGAGATGCTAGACACCAAAAAACTCAAAAATTAATAGAAAAGTAAACGTCGTCACTCATCACATACTCAATAGACAAACCTTCAGTTTTTGTTGAGTTTTATCTAACTAAAACGGTGTCAAGCGCGTTTTTACAAAAAACCATCGTAGAAATTGCTATATGGATGTATATTGCTATTTTCTGCTTGAGAAAAATTGGAACTTCACGAACCGATGTATGTTACATTTTCAAAGAAAAAAGACAATGTAAGACAATGTTGATGCATTGCAAATACATGTTTTATGAACGGATTACTAATTTTAGTAGTTTTAGAAGTTTTTAATTTTTATCTTCGGATCAGAGTTTTCTTTTGATTTAATATTGGTTTTCTGGCTCACTGATGCCTTTCTTCACCGGCAGATAAAAATGTAAAAAGAAAATGTAGTATCAACTAAATAAGTTTTCTTAATTGTGTTGTTCTTTTTGTTTACCTCTTTTGTTGAATACTCTCTCACATAGTTGTTTATTCTTCTGTTAAGGTAGATTTGGAAGTGTCTTCACCGCTTATAGCTGATAACAAAAAACTTTCCAGAGAGATCTTTGATCTGAATTGTACAATTCAGATCAAAGTCTCTCTTTCAAGTGCAAGAAGGTACGTACCTTCTTCGATTATGCGTGTGCTTAAAGAAGACAAATACAGAACAATATCCGTCTTTTTAGGTATCTAAAACAGGCTTTTCACGAAACTAAATTTGTCCAATTAACAAAATCTGTATATAGAGCACTTTTTAATTCGCATCTAGTGTCATACATCGGGTATATAGATGAAACCGTCATTCCTTGTCTTTCTTGTCTCTCTCGTGAGAACATAAGAAGGCACATGTTATAAATGGGTAAAGTTTTTGCATTTATGACTGCTTTTAGTCATATAAACTTACTCTTTGTTTCTCTTGACTTCATAAGGGAAGTTACACAAAACCATGCGGCCACAGTCGAAGTAGATCGTTGTAAACGACTTTTTAGATATTTTGAAGATAGTGCTGCATTGATCTCAGGGTCTCCTGTAATCATTATTGCTCATAATTTTCCTCTTCCTTTTTTCTGTAGATGTTATCTAAATTTGAACACCTTCCAAATGAAACTGTTTACAAAATATTCTCTTATTCAGCACCGCACGATGTATTTGATTTGTTCATGAATTTGAACAAGCGTCTTGATCATCTATTACACAAATACCGTATCGCTATTCGTTTGAAATCCGATGAGGATGAACAAAAGTTAGAATATTATTTTAATTATATTATTCGTTTATTTCCAAATAACGTTTATTTACTTCAGTTATCGTGTAATGATCAAATTGAACAATTTTTTTGAAAAATACAATATCGTGTTTTTCATGCAACTTCACTTCTTATCATTATTGGATGGCAAACTTGATTTGTATTTACGACTAGTTCAGCAATTTAATTATCTTAAATTTATCGAGTTAAAAGACAGCAATAGTCAGCTACAAAGGCAGCGAGAACAATGCAGAGTTGGAACCGATCAACCGGATAGCAGCAAATGTCCAAATATTGGGAATTAATGTGTCTGGCTTAGTTGCCCTGGGAAAAATCGTTCGTTTTACCCCAAAATTAAAAGAAATTGTTCTTAACTTCTCACAATCGATTCATGGCCCTTTTGATACAGAAGCAACGACACGATTAAGCAATCTGATCAATTTGAAACTCCAACTAAATTCTGAAGTACATCAATTCACTTTTTTTAATGAAAAAACATGTTTGGTTTTTAAATACAAAAAGAGTCAATTATTTAATTTTTTTCTTCCCATTGAATGATGGGCTGAAGCATGTTGTTTTACAATTGACTGATTCAACTACTTTTGCTTTTGACTAAAGTTGAAAAATTAATTTTCATCTGTCATCTTATATTTCGCAGTATCATCGCGTGCTTGTTTAATAATCGTCCAGTTTTGAGATTCTGGTAATGATTGCAATGCATGTAATTGATAAACAGCGCCACCAGTCAGAAGTGTACCACATGACAGAAATCGTACATAACATGATAAATCGGTCATTGTCTAAAGAAACTATCCTGTTGAATAATGATGATCTATATTTTGTAAATAGAAACTATAGTTGATCAGTACAATAATTAATTGTGAAAATAAAATATTTTCCTAGTTATTTAGTAAATGTCTCTTTGAAACGTTCATAGTGTATATACAAATTAAAATCTCATACCTGATTTAAAACGGCTAAACAAGACGCGTGTGTCACATTCCATACTCTAACAGTATCATCGTCGGCTATAGATGCCAAGAGAATACCATCCATGTCAAAGGCTAGATCTTGAATCCATCCCATATGACCTAATAGACGCATTTTCAAATGACCATTCTCATATGTCCAAATAGCAATCATTCGATCCAAGCCGGCAGAAGCCTAAAATGGTATAATTAATTTCGTTATAATAATTATACTCGTTGAAGCGAGTCTATACATATTTTTATTTTATTTTTTCAGTTACAGTGAAATCAACTGATAAAGCTAATTTTATCAATTAATATTTTCGAAGATAGTGTAAAAATTATAAAATAATTGTCATCATCGCTCACTAAATAACCGGCGTTTGAAAATGCTAATGTACGAATGTTAGCGAAATGTTCACGCAGTCGAAGTGGTTTTTTAATTGGTTCTCGAAGATTATAGACCATCACAGTATGATCATGTGATCCAGTTGCCTAAAAATGAGATAACCTCTCGTCTTTCAGCTGATTTAATTTAATTTTAATTTTATGATGTACCATTAGATGTAAAATTGGATGAAAAGCAATAGACTCCACCGAGTTTGAATGATCTTGAAAACATTGCGATATTTCACCAGTCTTAAAAAGCAAAAGATGACATGTCTTTAGTTATGAGAAGCAAGATTCTCATATCTTACGAGGAAACGAGGAATTTAAGTGATACTTTCCGATTTCGTTCGTTCATACGTTGATCGATAGAGGGTATCGAGCTAGTAAAATGCCTAAAAAGATTTTCCCACATAACTTTCGAAGACCCGGTTTTTCAGAAACTCTAAAAAGTAACCAAAACCTTTCTTAATAAATCAATGATTGTAGCCCGCAAATTTCTGATTAAAATGAGACATCTCTCTGCTCTACACGACTTTTCTTGCAAAGTTTACAAGAAAGGCTCCTGAATTAATTTCTTATTTCTGTGGCTTTTCTTGTAAATTCTATAACTTTGCAAAGGAAGGTCGTATAGAGCTGGGAGATGTCTCTTTTTATTCAGAAATTTGCGGGCTACAATTATTACCTCATTAAGAAAGGTTTTAGTTATTTTTTAGAGTTTCTGAAAAACTGGTTTTCCAGAAAACCGGGTCTTCAAGAGTCATGGGGAAGAATCCTTTTAGACTTTTCACTAGCTCAATACCCTCTATCTATCGACGTATGAACGAACAAAATCAGAAGGTATCACTTGTATAAGTTTCCTCGTTAACTCACCAACACATTCCATAGAATAGTTTTATGATCCCATCCACCACTGGCGAGAAACGCATCGTCCGTTGAAAATTTCAAGCAATTACATGGATTTTTATGTCCTAAATAATTAAACTGAATGTTTTTATTCAAATGGATACGTAAAGTCAAATTCATACTGTACCAGAGAGTACAAATAATAGTTTACTCGTTCTTATTTCATATAAACGTACTGAAGAATCACCCGCACTAGTGGCAAAATATCGAGTATTGTTCGCAATTGCTATAGCACGAATTAGACCTAATAAAATATTTTAACAATGTTAAGTCAATTTAGTCTAAACGAGCTAGAAAAAAACAAAACCTGCATTTTCCTGTATTTTAACTATGAGATGATGTTTAATTGTGTTCCATATACGAATAATTCCACTAATGGTTGCTGTTAAAAGGATTTCACAATCATTTGAAAATGTTAGACAGTTGACCTATACATACATACATACATACATACATACACCTTTAAGTTTGAAGAATCTCTCGAATCAATCATCTGAGATGAGATTAATTTGAAATAAAATCTATCTTTTTAGCTCGACAATGATACTTATCATAACAAACGAATAGAAAATAAAATTATCTATATTTCTACCTCATCGTCGTGACCACCATACAAACTCAATATTGAATTGAAACGAGTGCATATTGACGTCATATAAAATTGATTCTTCAAATTACACTGAGACGATTATATTCTATAATATTATTCTAAAAATGTTTATTATTTCAATAATTACTCTCTCTTGTTCTCTTTCATCTAGCAAACAAAAAACTAAAATTGTGATTTTAATTCGATCTGATTTTATTTTCTACGTTTATTCTTATTGAAAGATAATTATTAGTGAACAAAAATATGTTGAAAAATTTTAATATAGTTTTCAGATTGTAATCTAATTATCTGAATATGTTGTAAAAACGCAGTTGTGTCATAGACAGATTTATTTTTAAATAAATAATCAATGCATACTTCATTCGAGTAGTATTATGTTTGTTTTATGAAATAAAATAAAAAATAAAAAACAAAGAACTTGAATATAATTATAATTAAATATATGATACTTATGTGTAGTGTTGAAGAAAAAAAACAATTTTTGCAATAAAATACAAAAAATTGGAAAGATCGTTTCTTGTAATGACAGTAATGGATTTGAAAAAATTCAGAGAAATTATCTCACCCTCATCCTCACATATCGACATCGTATCATTATCAATATACGTATGATACATAAGACTAGTTACTGTCTACTACTAGTTTAGTTTTATTTATTTAGCTTAAATCAAAGCAGGGAAACAGAAAAAGCTTCCGGCTTGTAAATACTGCTCCCAAAAATCTTTCAAAATATGAACGCACAATAAAACAAAACAAAAATAAGGTATAATAAACAGCAAGTAAAGTAGAAGAACTGTTGAGAACATCCAACAGGATAATAAAACAATTACATTTGGTTATGGAGATGAACGTGGAGGCGAGCTTTAAAGACTGATAAAGAAACAATAATAGCATTCGAAGAGTTATAAGGATCAGCATTGCTAATGACGTGCGGCGGAAGCATGTTCCACTCGTCCGCTGTTAGATAGAAGAATGATCCCTGTACACTTTTCTTTGATGTAAAAGAAACAATTACAGCGAAAGGATTTTGGTTTAGTCGAAGACTAGCTCTTGTGTGACACATCATCTCCTAATTTAAGTTTAATACGAATGAATTTAAAAATAATTTTTAAAACTCAAAAGTCAATAAATTTTGATAAAAATTTAAAATGTTTATAAATCTGTTCGAAAATATAGAGTTATTCAAAAGAGACTAAAATACTGTAGATGCTAAATGGTACAGATCATCCACTTTCATTATGTATATATTTGGATGGTGTTATTACACAAGCCTTAAATAAGAAAATAGATGTTGGTTAAAAACTAGTAATTAGACAGGAACAAGAACAGTTTTCTATTAGTCCATTGATACTTCCAATTAGAGCACTTTTCTTTAAATGTATGTTTTAATCTAATTTAATTTTTTATATGAAGTTGAAAATGACCGTAGCACAGTGGGCATTTTTCCATAGACCAAGCGAATATATGCTTTTTTTTCAATTCAGAAAACGATTATTTTTGCTCAATACTACTTTATTACGTTTGAAATGTTATTTTATATTAAGAAACTCGAATGGAGAACAAAAACGAAAAATCCTCCTTGCCCTAAATTTTTGCGAGAAATATTTTTCTTGAAAAATGTTTCAAATACCCACCATTCGATTCAGTTTTATGTGCTGATTCCAAATATGTTATTATTTTTCAATAAAAGTGTTCCTGAGATGAGGAAAATAGATTTTACATTAAAAACCAAGGTGTTTCGGAAACCCTATAGCTCCACTTGGGTAGATACACCCAAATTTGCATGTTCAACCTAGATAGAGTACATGTCCGAAAACATTTTGGTATAACTTTAAGTCAGTTTTGACCTTAGCGAGCTTTAGCGATGTCATTGCACTGCAAACAGTGGTTATGAAAACAATTTCGCTTAAGAAAAATCGTTACTTAGCCGCTAAATTATGTCCTAATTACAAAAAAAATTTGCAGTTCTCTAGCTTAGTATTTCTGAGTTTAAAATATGTAAAATTTATGATTTTAAATTGCTTTAATCCTAGAAAAAAACGGCTTGTCCTAGGAGATCGCTATTTCTAGGTTATTTTCGTTCCTTAATTTTTCTTAAAGTATCAGTAGTTGAAACAAAAATTTCAGTGCCATTAGATAGCCCGTAGACCAGAATATATTTGACACTACTTGAATTTCAGAAAAGTGTACTTTCGACTTTTCGCTAAATATCCGTCTCGATGCTCACTATCCGTAGTAGATCGAGAATTTCTGTAATTGAATAAATAAATGATTGTTATTATGTCAGACCTTAACTGCGGTATTCGTGTTTACTTTTCTTTTAAAATATTAAATGGTATTTTTTATTTTCCTTCATTAATAAGTGCACATTATACTTCTAATTTCAAAACATCATATTTCTAATCATTAAATTAAATATATATAACAATACATGCGAATGATATCCTCAAATAAATCTGCTCAGATAGACAGTTTATTACTGCCATGATATCAGTAATTATTGGTATTTCCAGTATTGATTATTACAATAGAACAATATAATATCACCGTTATTGTGTATTACTGATGAAAAAGAAATTCTAATACAAGCTTCATTTACTTTCAAGATCAGTCACATAGAATCAGTGATTCGTAGTAAACATCTTATCCATTTGAATCAATTTTTAAAACTAAAGCAAAATCAATATAATGAACATTATAACAGTGGACCGCACCTACCATTGTCAGTTATAAGTACATTTTCTAAAACTAACTTATTATATGCAATGCACTACTGAATAATTAAAGATATCTTTACATCGATGATCATTCACTATGAACAAATATCTATCTGATTATGTAGAACTCGTCAACTTAGAATTCATTCGATGGATAAAAGAAAATCTAAGTTATTTGGAACATTTGTTTGTATATTGAATGGGAACTAATTATTTTGTTGAATTTTTTTTGAATTTTAAACTAAATTTTTTTTTTTTGAACCATAAATGTTTAGAGGTAGTCAATGGTCCTAATCCTGAACATGAGAATCATATCTGTTCGTATTCAGGTTTGTGATGGAGCTCTGCAAAGCCAGAAAATTCAATTTTGAGTAAATGTATTTTTGATAGTGCAAGATTACACATCAAATTACCAATGTTTATAATTTTTTCAAATTTTAATAACATTACTCTCTTGTACAATTGATTTATAAATCTCGAGTCGATAATTAAAATTTATATATCTTTTAAATTTTTGATTAAATTTAAAAAAATTTGTAAATCGTTCGATTTATAAACATGTATAAATATCAGACTTTTCAACTTTTTCAGTGAAGTTTAAGCAATACATACTTATTGGAAATCATCTGTGCAACAACTGTTGATTCATCAGTCAACTAGCAACGCCAAAAGAGAAAATCAAGAAATAAAACAGACAGTTGTTTCGTATCATTCATCTGTGTTTCTAATGAAGAAATTTCGTGGACACCAAAATTCAAGGCGATCGAGCAAAGATCAAAACTGTTTCCTCTAATTTCAAAGGAAAAAGTTCACAAGTCATACCCGAATTCTCTGAAAATTATTTACAAAACAAAAAATCAACACACATGTTATTTGAGAATGGATAATGAAAAATCATTCATAAGATACGTTGAGTAAACAGATTGAGTAAACACGTAGAATGTAAAACAGCTACGTGAAGAGATGGTTAACAAAAGCAAAATGCTATCTACATAGACAAACTTTTTATCTTCATTCACCAATAGAGCATTCAAAGAAAATAACTAACTAATTCACTGAAAGAAAGAAAGATTACTTGCCGTACTACAAGGATTTGAATAAAGCTATTACACTAAACAAACATTTATCGGTCAATTTATATCTTTTCAAAATATTCGATTAATTTATCCCTTGAAATATGATTTTGTTCAGACGTATATTCACTTATACAGGATGATCCAAAAAAAACTTACCCCCTGTGTATTTATTGACTTTCTTGTGTACAAATATAATTGAACTTTTTATCATTAGTTTATTCGAATAGAGCAAAGATTTCTGGACGAAATG